CGTCTGGAACTCCGGGCAAATGGCCTTACCATTCTTCAAAGTGGCCGTCAGCACCTTGCCATTGAGTTGATCAGGCATCTGAGGTGCCGGTGCGGCTACGGCCTCTTGCCGGGCTTGCTGTGCCGCTTCAACAAACTGCTGTGACAACTTGAGCCTCTTCTTCACGTCCTGGAAGCTATGTGCAGAGGCCCAAATAGGTTGGCGGTCTTGTCGCAGCAACCTGTCAGCTTCAGTAAGGCCATGAGCTCGGGCTGCATCTAGCTCTGCCTGCGGGATCGCCTCCCACAGCAGGTTGCTAGCGAGCTTGGCCGTAGCGCCCCAGATCAGGGATTTCACCTTGACTGACGCGGCGTATTTTGCCGAAGAATAGTGAAATGCCATCGCCCCCACCTCTGGTTGCTCACTCTTGTTTTGCCAGTCGCCCAGGGCTGCCATTTCTTCAGGCCTGCATCCTAACAACTGGGCCACCGTGGGTGCAAGCCTCCTCCAGCTGTAGGTGGTCAGATCTTCTGGATTGTCGAGGAACACGGACATTTCCTGTTGCATCGTCTCTTGCACTTCTAGGATCGTCCATGGGCGCCCTTCGTCTGAAAAACAAAGGCCTGCAAGTCTCTGCCTTGCTGGTGCCAGCGTCCTGTATGCCTCCAGCACTTCCTTGGCCCAAAAGAAGCCGTTGGCGAATGTGGCCGGCACCGCAAAGTCGAAACCTTCGCGGGCATGCTTTTGTTTTCCCTTAGGGCACCTGCAATGGAGGAATGCAGCGGTGAGGCGCCGAGGTTCTGACCGCGCGATGTGCGCATACCTCAAACAGCCAAACGACATGATCCAAGGAGCCAGAAGAACTGACCACCTCTCATCGCCGACCGCGTGCAACTCCGTGATGCGGTCCTCCAAGGCCTGCACTAATGGCGGCTCCACCACCGGTGCTTGCCCACGCTGCCCAGTCGCCCTGGGTGTTGTAGGCACTTGCAAGTTTCCCAGCTCCATGTCTTGGTCGGCATTCTTGTTCATCCATTTCAAGGCTTGGAGTGCTCGTGCTGGCGCCTGGGTGTGGTTGAGGAACTGATCCAGGTCGACCATTCCAGGAGGAGCGGGTCGCCCCCGACTCTCCAAGAAGGCCCTCAGCTCCAACCAGGTGTTGACCACTCGGTCAATGGTCGCCTTCTCCGCGTCCTTCACCTTCTTCTCGGCGATCCTCTTGCACGTTTGTTTCCATTCGGCCTTGAGGGTGTCTGTCAAGATGCCAGCTGGTTTGTATGCGCCCATTCCGACAAACATCGACACCAAGCCGTTCACCCGCTTTTGGACGGCCTCATCCAGGTTCTTGGTGACGTTGACGGCCTTGGGCTTTTTCTTGTAGATTGTCTTGCGCACAGGGCGCAGAGTGACGGAACCCTTGGGGTTGTCCTCCACGACTTTGGCCCCAGCAGCAAGGAGGTGCTCTTCCACCCTTGCTCTTGTCTGCAGCCAGTCATCTGCTACGTGATGGCCAGCTAGTCCAACGACTTGATCGTAGTCGGTGTAGGCATAGGCGAAGTCGTTGTCGTCCAGGAGGCCTTCGTTCTCCCTCCATTGGCGCGCACGCTGTGCAGCTATCATCATCAAGGAGTCGGCTGCTCTCCATCCCGGTTCAGGGTCACCCCCTGACGAGGACAAAGCTGCCGCCTGAGCTGCATAGTAGCCTTTGCCGCCTGATGCCATGGCGCTGCACCCTAACAAGATTGCTAAGGTGCGGAGAGCAAAAAGATGCTGCGGTGACTTCAGAGGTGCCTCCTCTGTCATAAAATCAACCTGCAGCAAACATCTTCTTACGTCCTCCACAAGTGCTGCATGGCTCACGCCAGGTGAAGCAGTCACTACACATCCCGACGCAGCATGCCCAGCACACGCGCCTGGTGGGATCTCCGCACTCTGTGCAGGCGGTGCCCAGCTGGAGCATGCCTGCATCCTGGCATTCCAGCCATCCACATAGCGCTCGATGTGCCCTGGCGCCTTCTCTCCCCCAGGCCACCCAGGGTCGCCCCCTAGGTGCTCTGGGGAAATGCCGCGGCTCGAGGAAGACCGGTAGGAGCTCGTGAGGGCCTGTGCATCTGAGCCAGCTCCTCCATTGATCGAACAGCTCCCCCAAGCCCAGTTGCCCAGCGTCGCCCGCTGAGCACCTGAGCTGCAACCCGTAGAGATCCTGGGGCACGATGTCAGCGGCCACTTTGTGCTTCGTATAGGCAGCGACCAGCAGCAGGTCCATGGGGTCCTGGTGCTGGTAGTAGTACGCCCAAGCATCCGCAGGCGCCACATCATCGGGCAGCACAACGCCACGGCTGTTCCACAAGCCGAGCCACGGGAACTTGAACCCCCCCACATGAGCTGCGCAACGCTGGCAGTCATCAAGGCAACAGGGTAGCTTCGGCAGGGGGGGGAAAAGCTCTGAATCTGTCCCAGTCGTGATGACGTAGGGGGAATGCAACACTTCAATGCCATGCATCCAGCATGTGTATGCTGCAGCATCAGAGCCCTCCCGCGCCAGCCTTTCCACGTGGCTCTTGAACTCCAGGAAAGCAGCAGCATGAAGGATCTTCGCCTCAGTGGCTGGCGGGATATCGATTCCTGGGAGTTTGCGCTGCATACAAGGTCGCCCCTTGTATATAATTTGAACCACCCAATCAAGGTCTGGAAAGGTCACCCCTTACCAAGACCAAGAAAGAAAACAGCAATGAATGCTATTTTGGTTCAAGTTTACTTGAGCCAAAATGGTAGCATTCATTGAAACACTTAAAGATGATACATGCACACCCAAGCCTGCCAAACTCAATGCATGGGTATATATAAATAATGGAAGATATAAGTGATCATTGATGTAATCCCAACTATACGTATCATGTTTTTGCCCCACTGTAGCAACAAAAACATGGTGTACCATGCTACAAATCCGTCCCCTTGGCCTCGAATTCGGTGATCAAATCCACCGAAGGCACCTCCATGCCGAAACGGTAAACTCACATAGATGTGGATTGGAAAGCTAAGGGTTTTCGGAAAATGATCTCCCAATGCTGTTTTTTTTCCATGTGAGCTTGCGGAACGGATTTTTTTTAAATAAGATACCATTGGATTCCATGATATCCTTTGTTGGTTAAAACATGTCAAATACAATAATCAAATAGATCAGCACATAATTCAGGGGATCGTTGCCCCTTATCATTGGAGACAGTAAATCAAAACAAACCATCATTTCCCGACGATCAGTGTCCTAGTATCACCTTCCTCGTCACTTAAGAAACCTCGGATATTTAGGCTTGATGCAAAAGCCATCAGAGACAAAACATAACAAGTTGATACCACGTACCCTCTGGCAATTTAACAGTTCGCTATTGAAAATGGCTCATAGAAATAGTTGATTTTCCGATTAAAAATGGTGATTTTCTATAGCAAACTGTTAGTTTACCAGAGGGTACAACAAGCTTTGCGACATGGTGGAAGCATTCCTTAGATGGGGCAGCAGTGTCAATCGTCCCCAAAGGCACGGACAATCAACATTCAATCAGCACCATGTCTGATATCACCACCCCCCAGAAAAAATATCCAGATCAACATAAGTTATAATATATAATTACATAAATAATAATAGTAATATATAATAATACTAATAATAATAAAAATATAATAATAATATATATATATGATAGTGTATATATAATATATATTTATATAATATCACCATTAATGGGATATCAAAAGTCTTGGTGGTTGCACCCCACTTTCACAACGCCCTTGGGGATCACCCAGTCCGCCCCGCCCAGTAGAAGGGTGGAAGACCCTTGGGTCGTCTCGACGAAGCCTGGGCTCTGTAAAGGTGGAACCGCACCATCTGGGCCAGCATTTTTTTCAATACCCTCTGGTAAACGTTTACATAACTATAAAGAAATCACCATTTTCAATGGGTAAATCAACTATTTCGACTGGGCCATTTTCAATAGCTTTTTGTTAACGTTTACCGGAGGGTTTTTTAGCTGAAGACCTAGGATTTAAATCCCTACTGCCTATATCTTAGCATTATCCGAGTAATTCCAGGGCCCATTTTCATGATGCAAGTACCAGGTCCTTTTTATTCAAACCAATGGTAGAAAAAAGTGAGAAAGGGGGCACCCATAGCCATATCATCTATAGTGATTATTTCTAGATCAATAGTCATCATATTGTTGGATATTCCCAGTCAATAAATCCCAGTAATATATCAGACCTATATCTGTAATATCATACTGATCATATCCATTCCAAAAAAAACAAGCATCCCCTGCAGCTTTGAAATTGTCCCCGAACATGGATCCCAACATTGAATCCCTACCAGGACCCCAGGGATAAAAGACAATATGAGACATCATCAAGTGAACAACTTTCTTGGCCATAATCCGAATCTCAAGACATGTGGGAAGCTAGCTAAAATATAGCAATCCCCGAAAAGATGGAAAAACATGCTTAATCACTGTACCTCATTGAAAAAATATTGTGAAGGATTCTACTAATCCATCTTTTTTTGGGTGCCTTTCTCCATCACATGGCAACAAAGAGGGACACACCCCATTTCAACAAAGCAAGCGTATAGATGTGTATAGTGTGGTCATCTAAGCCGTCAGTTCGACGGAACAACCCCGAGCCATTATGATGTTTTCCCACTTGGAAAGTACTATTGCAGGCTGTGGAGGCTGCTAACACCAAGGTCAAGTTGCACCATCCACCGCGTGATTTTTTCTGTGTCATTGGTGAAACCGCCCTGAGGCAAATGTAGTCGAACGGATTCTGAAAGGATTCTTATTATGCATGAAGGATACGCGGGTGTGTCTGAAAATGACATATACCATGGTAAGCCACCCAAAATGGCCTTTTCACTTGGTTTGTGTGATCCCCTCCCACTTATCATGCATGTATATGCATGTAACATATATGAACATGACAATGACAATAAATAAACCACTCTGGATTTTCTAGGGTACTTGTTTTTTCTTTTCGTGTCCGACAAACACACATGATAGATCATTTTAGTGTAAGAGCTGTTGCTCATGCAGAAACTACATGAAGCGCCTGCTGGCAATGCCTAGAGGCATCAAGGAGTGTACTCGCTGGATTTACATGGCAGAAATTGGCCAGCAACTGTCCATCAGGCAAAACTACTCGAAGATTCTGGAGGTTGACTTTCATTTCTCGCGCAATGTGTTTGTGGCTTTCCCAGGAAGAATCGGAACCTGGTGCCTTCCAATACAGCACTTCCTTCCCTGCCAGGTCGGAACAAATCAGCGTCACTGCATCGCCTTCAGAGAACAACTCCAATTGCAAGACAAGGTCTCTGCCAAGTTGCACATCGGCATGGTATTGATTGCTGTGCCCTGGACACGGAATGTTGCATCGTTCGAAGGTCTCTCGTCCGCAAGCAACAACACGGCCATCACTTCGAAGAAGCACTGTGTGCTCGTCACCTGCTGAAACCTGGATATATGATATTCCTTCCTCCAATGGTGGAAGATTGCACCGATCGTCATCATTCTCTCCAACAGCACAAGCTTGGCCATCACTTCGGAGAAGCACGGTGTGACTCAACCCCGCAGAGGCCTGGATGTACGAGTTTCCCTCATCCAAAGGAGGAATGTCACACTCTCCAGAGCAATCCCATCCGCAAGTAACCACACAGCCATCACTTCTGAGAAGCACTGCATGCTCGTAGCCCGAAGAAACCCAAGTATACAATGTCCCTTCATCCAAAGGGGGAATGTTGAGCTCGCCTTCAATGCCGCTCCCGCAAGCTACAACCTGTCCATCACTTTGGAGAAGCACAGTATGAAAGCAACTTGCGGACACTTGGATGTACGACGATCCTTGACTCAAATGTGGAATATTACATTGTCCATACTCGTTCTCCCCGCATGCAACAGCATGACCGTCACTTCGGAGAAGCACCGCGTGTTTGCCGCCTGCAGAAACTCGGGTGTACGTCATTCCCTCTTCCAAGGGTGGAATTTCACATCCTGAAGACTCTAGTCCACAGGCAACAGCATGGCCATCACTTCGGAGAAGCACTGTGTGCTCGTCACCAGCTGACACCTGGATGTAGCACATTCCTTCCTCCAACGGGGGAAGATCACATTGACCATGGTCATTACATCCACATGCAACTGCCTGTCCATCACTTTGCAGAAGCACTGTGTGCTGTCCACCTGCAGAAACCATAAAGGATCAGGCTTCGGGTCTCGGGTGGACACAAAATGGTTAAAAAAAAAGTTCTCACAATCTCTGAGCCAGAGTCTTTAATTCTTCAATTGCTCCAGTGAAGTAAGTCTTAGTCTTACACTTGGGTTTTTAACCTCCTCATCTGGTAGGCCATTCCATTCCAGGAATCAAAAATGGTCAGGGACGCCTTCTTTTCCCATCCACACTGTAGACAATAATCTCTTCCTTAATTACCAATACCCCCCAAATGGCCCCCCAAACAATATCCTTCCCATCGAATTGAATCAAAAAGCAGGCCCGATATGTTCCGATCAATCTTTAGTGAGTGATCACCCAACACAAGAATCCCAAGCAGATCCAAGCAGCATGTAGCCAGTAGGGGACCAAAAAAAACATCGTTTCCACTGGATACCAGGCGCTTGCAGCTTGATCGATTTCAAGGGGAAAGCTGATGTTGTTTTGTTTCTTGGGCCATAGGACTAATTCATACCAATCCCTTCCCCCAAACATTCAGATATATCAAGTACCCCAAAATATATGACCCGGGTTTAGTATGTGCCCATGTAGAGGCATTTCTATTTTAGATTGGAAGGGATTGTCCAGTCCAAACATTGTTGCAACACAATTTGCATAGCACCACGGAAATCTTGGGGCACAGCGCGGAAGTCCGTATTTTCTCGCATGGGGCATACTTATAAAATCTTATAAGCTACCCCCTCCCCGAATCAACCAAGCAGTGCGAAAAGGACATCCATAGTTGGTTGGCTTCTTGAAAATATGCTCATTGGGGATCCCCATCCCAAATATTTCAAATCACCCCCTGGTTTGGAGTGTTTGAAGAATTTTAGACCAATTTGTACACACTTCTTAACATGGGGATGTCATTGGATTTCATGGGATGTTTGAATACAATGAGATATTACCATTCTGGTTGAATAATTCCGAAATTCCCGAATTTAGAATAACTTTTAAGTTGCCATGCCCCTCCTTAGCTGCCAAAAGGTTGGACAACCATAGCGAACTCATGTTACTGCCGAGCTTGCGGCTGGCAATGTCGCAACCTTGTCACCCAGCTTCCCGGCAAATGGAACCCAACTTAAAGGACTTGCTGTGGCCGCAACAGGTACAGAATAAAACCCATCTGGCCCCCAAACTAATGATATGGCCATTATGGCCTATGATGTACTGGAGGGTCAGACTTTGTATATTCAAATATATAAGTACATACTATATAATAAACGAATTCAACTTATATTGCCGTCATTTAACATCTGGTTTTGTCCAAGAACTGACTAAAGTCCTGTAGCTTGTCACAAGCGGCATGCCCCATTTCTGGTAACTTCCAGAATTTTTGGACATGGAACAAACGCCATGCTGGTGGCTTTACAGCCAACCTGCTCTATTCCGATGCTCAAGAGTTGTTACTTCAAAGGGCCCCCGACATGACCCTGATAATCCATGATAATACCCTATAGAAATCTGAAACCTACGAATGTCCTAAATGAAGCCCCCGGAATTCGGAATCTGAAACCTAGACCTTCCAAATCCAACACCTACGAATCAGTTGACATTACCATTTTTCTCAGAATCCCCCCAGGGCCCAGTTTCCAAATACCCAACCCTCACTGGATCCTGCCTGCGTGGGGAGAGTGCTAGTGCTTTCACCGGTCACACGCCTTGCCCGCCAAATCTGAGAGTCACGCGAGTCAGGTGGGCAATTCATCACAATTCTATCGCCAAAATCTATGGACCAGCAATTCTTGTGTTTTTGTTGGCACATGACACATGGTTTTCACATTTGGGCACTGATCTCTGGTGATTTCTCTCTGAAATGCTCCCAAATGTCTGCGGGGTGGCTCCAGACCCAACTTTCGATATATCCACCGTAAACCGTAAACATCCATAAACCGTAGTTAATCTACTTATCAACTTTCCAAATTTCTCAACACTGGGGCATCAAATCTGTAGGTCTTTTCATGTCTTTTCATAATGAGCTGCCAGCGTTTGACCTGATACATGAACGATTCGGAATTCTCCAACATGAGCGGAACATCTCACACCTAATCAACGTTGCAAGAAGCGCCCCATCCCTATATTTGGCTCTGTTGCCCCATCTATCTACATCCGTATCAATCTTTTCAACCGAGCCGACTTAGCCTATCTTAGCCTAGTGAAGTAAATATAGTAAATCAATGAAGATAATGAACTTACCATAACTTACCTACTATGTCCTTTAAAACACATGTAAATCCTCGTCCTTTTTCGATGAAATCCTAATTTTTGGGTCGAATCCATCACGTTGCAGTTCCGTCCACCACAGCGCCTCACGTGCGACTCGCCGCTATCAGCCTCTTTCCTGGAGATCCTTCGAAAGCCCCAGCGTTCCAAGCAAATCACATGGAAAAGCCGGGGAACATTTATGGGAAACCACCATATTTCATGGAAAAACAACTATTATATAACTATATACATCTACATACTAAGGTTTCCAGGTTAAAATGTGTCACATAAGACGCCAGTCCGATGACCGGCTCGAAACATTTTGGTCTTGACTGGTCACCTTGTTGAGTCCTGAGATCTTGATGAGTAGCCAGTAGCCATCCCATGTTGCCAACCCAATAATGAACCACCCCCAATCGGCTGCCATAAACGGTTGTGGGATTTCAACATATTTCAACCATTCCCAGTCATGGTAGGTTTATGATGGTTTATGTCTTTGGGATGCTTTGGGTCTGGGTGTGCCACATTCAAGCGATCAGCGATCTATCACACTCCCCTTGTTTTTCTGCCGTTTCAGCCAGCTGCAAAGTCGGCGATGGCGGCTGTCCTCATGGGGATCCAATCAGCCCCCGAAGTGGTGGTTTTCGATGGGAAAGCCGCCCGGGTTTCCTGTAGATGTTTCCTTCACAATTGAGCCGGAGCCCCATACCCATAGGATCCATGTATGATATATATGGTAACATTTATCATCAATATTCCAAATGTTAGCATTTATACCAGCACCATGGATCCTATGGGATATATAACGCCCCAATATCCCCAATCTCTTTGGCTTAAGGACTTATGAATCATTGGATGGCCCCTTTAAATGGCCTATGAAAAGTTCGATTATTTACACTAAAAATTGTGATTTTCCAGACTTATGAGACCAATGATTGGGATTTAACATGATTTAATATGAGTTAACCATAGTTAACCAGTTTGAGATGGGGATTCAAAACGGGCTACAGTAAATATCAAGGGATTCTGGCTGCTGTTTCTTTCCATCAAGTTTGACAAACAGAACCCACGATTCGATTGTCATTGGGGATATGTTGATATATGATGATATATGTTGCCTGGGAAATCCTCCATTGGGATCCGCTTCCAAACATCAGTTCCTATTCATTGCACCGTCTTCCCCAAAAGAATCCCAAAGAAAGTTCATCTACAAGTTGTTCTATCATATTTCAAGCGGCTATCTCCCTTATGTATCCTTATGTCCCCGACCCCAATCTGAAAATAGCCGTTTTCACCGTGTATAAACCATCATTCCAGTGACGTCACGAGGGTCATGAATTCCGCATGATAAGCCTATTCATCTGCCATGAACAAATCCCATGATCATCCACATTGTAGCTAAATGCCAAACCCAAATTCCCTAGTATACATTCGTATGCTAGTCAAAATATGTTATATATATATACCCATGACGGATCCATGGTGCTGGTATATATGCTAACATGACTGGGGTATATGGATGGGATCTATGTTACCATGTATAGCATAATTACATGGATCCTATGGGTATGGGTATGGGTTGACATTAACTATAACCATATGGGGATTTCCATAAATGGGATATCCCAATAGCTGGATGGTTTATCCCAATATGTTATATATATATATATAAAATATTATGATATGTTGTAATCCCTTCTCATCCCATCCGAAAAAAACATCCAGGGATTCATCCAGCAATCCTGGAACCTCTCCGTGGCACCAAGTCACAATGCCGCCATGCCTTCACGCCGCCGGAGGATGCAGGTGACCCCCAGGTGGAGCGCGGCGTCTTCGGCGGAGGCCTAACCGCAATAGAACGAAGCGAAAAGGATCATGGGGAGCCACCCAATTTTTGCTGATTTTTGAGGGATTTTAAAGGATATTTAAGATATTTTAAAATATATTAACCAAATGGTGATTTTGACCATATTTTTTTAAGATGTGCTTGACATCACTATTTTGCTGAGGGATTATGACCGATATGACCTCAGAACAAGAGGGACTTAGCTCTGAAATTCATGGGGAATTTCAACAACCCCCCATGAGCTGACCCTTGCCATGAGGTGACCCTTGCCATGAGGTGACCAGATTTTCGATCATCTCGCTTGAGGATAATTGAGGTATACTTGGATGATGATAACCAATGACATAACAATGATAATGTCATTGCGATATGAACAAAACCGGAGTTTTATCCAATCAATGTGCAAAATCCGATCGAATATCCAAGGTTCAATCCAACAACTGATGAGTTCACCGGAAAATGACAGGTGATCCAAGCAAGAAAAGCCGCGATCTAGCCAAAACAAGTACTGATTAGCCTGCACGAATGTGGCAATTACCAGCCAATGTGCTTCCGTCTTGGTTTTCACAGGGGAAGTTTTTCGGTAAAATACAACGGCACCATGGTTTTCACACAAAATAGCTGGGGTTCATGAGTGTCATGCCAGATTTCTGCAAGTTTCACTGCTTTCAATCGATATATCGTCTTTTGATATATAATATGTCAATGGGTATCAGGAACGACTTTGAACCGGAATATAGCACACACTTTGGTGGGCTGTCCATTGCCAAATTGGATTTGCAACTCCAGGTTGACATTGCCCAATGTATCCCAGAGATATTAAAAGTCACTTAACATCCTTAAAGCTCCTTCAAGTAACTAACAGTACCATACAGTAGCTACTACTATCATAGCCTTTCATCCAAATCGAAGCCAACTACTTGGAGGATCATCCCACCTAGTAGTTGGTTACAGGAGATTAACCTGATTAGTAAGCCCCCCTAACTGGGGTTATGTCAACTACCAGCCGCAAAAAAACACAATTGCACCCTGAACTTATCTTTGAATGTCTTTGATATTAAGGAACTCAGGAACCCTACTTGGATATGCATCCCACTTACTTCGTAAGAAGTGGCAACAAAAACCCGGAAATTGCTTGTATAACACATATATAAGTAGGGTTGTGCCACATATCACTGCAAAATGTAGCTGTTGCCCACTTACCCTCTGGTAATTTAACATGGCTATGGAAAATGGCCCAGTCGAAATAGTGAATTTTCCCAACATGGTGGATCTTTCCATAAGTTTTTTGTATGTTTACCAAAGGCTATATACATGGCTATGGGTCAAAACCCTGAACCCCCAATAGCAAAACCAAAATAGCTGGTAAATTGATGTTCATCTCACTAACGTTAATAGGTGTTGATAAGGATGCAATCAGTGAGTCCGTGCCTTCAACTTCTCGTCCTGGCTCCGGTACCCTTCGGAACTCTGGGGTGTCCTTAGGTCCTTTATCAACATGTTCCATGACATGCAAAGGGAGAATCTGCACGAAACCCCTATCATTGGTGGTAAAAACACATCTAAAAACCGTGTTATGTGGTCAAAACAATGTCACAAACCAACGATTTGGGAATGGTTTTATAGCACCTATTATTGCTTTACACACATGTAGAAACATGGAAAGCAACTGTCCATCAGAACTTGCCTTCAAGCCAAGCATTTTGGGATGATATCCCCCAACTCAACCACCATTTTTTTTGGTTCAACCCTCAGGCGAGTTACAGCATGATACACCATCATTTTTCTTGGTTCAACCAATATTCTTATTGGAAAATAACTAGTTTTCTTGGTTAAACCAACATTTTCATTGGAACATCACTATTATTATTGGTTAAATCACCGTGTTTGTCGGAACATCACTGTTTTTCCTTGGTTAAATCACTATTTTGCTTGGTTAAACACCCCACTTTTGGCCAACCGCTGCCAGTCCAAAGGCCGCCGCTTTTCCCACCGGTCGGTCCTCAATCCGCAGTGATCGCTCGAAAGCCAGGCCCAAAGCAGTGCGCACCACTTCGCCTCTGATTCCAAGCATTATTTATCGAGAACAGATACATGTACTATCATGCACTGTATATCTATATTCTGCTGTACATGTATAAACGTCAATTATCTTAAAAAACTAAGCGTTTATAATGTTTATAATTATACTTGCAAGCACTATTTATTCAATCAGTATTATACTATACCTATTATCATTAAATATGTAATTAATTGTAATTATATAGATTAACTATTATCGTATGCTATGGCTATAGTTATAGGTTAAGTAGATATACGTATAGATTAACTACATACAGATAGACTAAAAGCTATAGACTAAGTACATGTTTAAAAATCAAATCATATATATACATATAGACAGAGAGAGAGAGAGAGGCGCCCAAACCATTTACATAGTTACTATACCGATGCAGGTTTATGCTTATTATTAGAGTTACAGGGCATCTCCTGGTACTGATATATGTAGTGCTCAATGTAAACACCTTCTCTAAATTCTTCTGGGTGTTCCTATAATGCCTATAATATATGTTTCTGTAAACCTTGGCGCAGGGTAGGTGAAAATTACTGCACATGGGTTTAACTGTTGCGAAGTATGCTCCACATGCCAGAGGTATGTTCAAATCATCTAGCAATCTGGCTCCCAAGTGATACGGTCGTTGATAAGCCCCGTTAACTATAGATATGATCAGATATATCTACCATACCTCATAGCTTTTGTAGTTTTTGTTGAACCAACTTAGCTATCTAGGGGGGCCCATCTTGTACCAATCTATACTGTAGATCACATAACTCTAGCCGTTATACGTATGTAAGTTTATGCTTGTTTATTTGTAACTATAGGGAGATGGAATATCTTTGGTATCCATATAGTAGCCCCCAAAAAGATGGAAGTTCGCACACTCCTCCAAGTTAGAGATGACTTTCCCAAAAAACAATTACCCTCTAGTTATGTCAACATAGCTATTGAAAATGGCCATTTATAGTTGATTTACCCATTAAAAATGGGTATTTTTCATAGTTATGTTAGTTTACCAAATGGCATTTTATAATTGGATTGTCAATTGCCATGTTTGATCACCAAAGCATAACCATCAATCCACCCAATCAATGTTCTACAGATCAAGGTTTTAATGGGAAAATCATCAATGAATAGAGGCCATTCCAATCCTTGGTAGATATAATAAGTCCTATATCCCATTAAATATCATTAATTACAACTATTTTCCACCATTTTCCCATTTCAGTGACATATCCCCAAGAAATTCTCTAATTCGTACATTCAATGGGAATTTCAGGATCCTAAAATGGAGGTACTGTACCATATAAGGCCATATTTTGTGGGGATATTCCCTTACATAGGCCTAAAAAATAGGCCTTATATATGGTCGGTACCTCCAATCAATCGGTTCCTGAAATGGCCATTGATTAGTGGGTTTTAATAGAATTTAATGGATTTTAATGGGTTTTAATGGGATCTTTAACAATAATAAACCAACAATTCGCTAATTCGTACATGTAAATTTTTCGGTTTCCTGGGGGTAGCCCATTTCAATCCATTTCATCCCTGGGACCCGCGCAGCCGATGAAGCCCAAGGTCTCCACCTCGATCTGCCTGGAAGCTGAATTTCCCATAGGAAAACCTTGGGAAAACCATGGGTTCTTTATGGAAACCATGGATTTTACGGAGGTTTCTGAGGCGATTTTGCAAACATGGACCACTTTGAAAGTCGCTTTTGGATTATAAGCAACATGTCCTGTAATTGCTGTATACGTATGATGTATGCATGTATTATCCGTTGCGGTTTGGTTGTTGCTTCTCAAACAGTGCTACGAGTAGCATCAAAACATCACACCAAAGCCGGGCAACTGCAGAAGTTCACTGGAGAAGTCCGCAGCCTTGGGGCACAGTGGTAGTGCAAGCTGGTTGGTTAATCTATGGTTAATCTATCGTTAATCTGTCCCTACAGTTTGACTCCAGCAGTTTTTTCTCCTTTCCAGGATTACCTCCGTTTAACAGTTTTCGATCCATCTAGTTCGATGATTTACCTACAATACTGGTGCTTTTCCGCGGCTATGTTCGTTTACCAGGGGGTAAAAAGGATTGGTCAACTTGACAGTTAGAGTCATCACCGACGTGGAACTTAGAGTTACGCACCAAGCAACTTTCCCACATGACGTTGCATGACAGCAGGCCCAGTCAGGCCCAAACCACACGTCCACAGGTTGGCTTTTCATTTTTTTTGTGTTCTGAGGCTTTCCACTTCCAACGGTTTGCCCTATTTATACCCTTTTTCAACTCACAACATGTTGGTATTTTGCTGGGTTTGGGCGTCTTTCTTGCCGTCCCCCAACTTGACCAATACCATCACTACAACCTGAACATGACCAACCTTCAACCTTACATCTTGTTGCAGGATGAAACCCACATTTTCCACACATCAACGACATCAACCTGCCACCCAAGTTTGCCCAGTTGAATCCCCTTTCTTTTTGCATAATTTCCCACATGATTTACTTGACATGAACTGGTTGGTGGTTTCAACACCCCTTGTAAAACATGAGTCAGCCAGGAATATCATCCCATGTCTAATTCTAGGGTTGAAAACAACAAATCGCATAAACGTAGTAGGCCACGTTTGAAAGTAAAAAAACATGTTTGAAAGCACCAGCTAATATTGAACCCTAGTTTTCACTCGTGACATCAGAAAGATAAGGAAAGGAAAACTATGGGAAAATAGGCACCAACTATATATATATAATAATCCCTTCTTCCTACGTAGTACTAAAACTCCCCCACATTAAAAAAGGATTGGTGTGGCACTTCCGTTTTTTTTTGGGTTGGGCACAATTGGATTCTTGATAGTGGTAATTGAGAATCAATAGGAGAACAGGATGGTGAAACAATGGGTTCAACCCCCTATTAATAAAAAATAGATTGCCACCTGGAGTTTCTTTTATTAGGGTCCCATCTCACAAGTTTTATTTTTATTTTGACTATTAAGGTTTCATTGGAATATTAGGGGAAAGCTCCGAAATCCAGTTTTTGGCAATGTCTTATATAGATTTTAAGAGGCGATTTAATCAAATTTGAAATCGAATTTGTTTTATTAAGGTTTTCATTGGAATGTGAGGGGGAAAGCTTCGAAAACCAGTTTTTGGCAATATTTCATAGATACTTAAATCAGGGATTTAATCAAATTTGAAATCGAGTCTTTTTATTTTTCTTATAAAGGTGTACATTCGGGGGGCACCCTAATACAGAATACCCCCTAATAATAAAAGTAGATCACCGGGTTTACCATTTGGAGTGGGGGAGGGGTGGGGGGGTTTTAGTAATAGGGAGAGAGGATTATCCACCTATAGTAACTAAACCCCCAAAAACAGTCAAAACCATAGAAAAAGTAATTCTTAACATGTTTTTCTGAGGATTTTACTTGTCTATCTATTTCCGGGCTGCTATTTGAAGATCTCCATTGTTCTCCATCTTTTCTGCCATGACCCCGGCCCCAGGTGCCTTCATGGCTCCCACATAAGCCTCCCAAATCTTCTGCGCCGCAGCCATCATCTCTGGTGCACAGGGGTGTTTTTGCGCTTGGTGGAAGCCTTGGACGGCGGTGCTGGTTGGGGCTCAGCCCCAACAAATGCCGAAATGTGTTTCCAGGATGCCATCTCCCCAGATAGATAGGGGTTGGAAGACTAAGTCAGACTAGTGAAACCACTAAAAGTCACTAAAAATGAGTTATTTCCAGGGTCAACCTACCAGAGGCATCCAGGGCGGCCAAGAGGCAATAGGCCAGGACATAGGTGGAGAGAAGTGATCCCACATCCTGGGTGAACTCGAGGCTAACAGGGCCCTGGAAATGGGGACATGACGAAGAAATTACAAGCAATAAATCAGTATATCACATACACACACTCATGCACACATGCATAGATACATACATACATGCAAAAAATCAGAACTAATCAATATAACATATATATATAAATACTATATATATATAAATACTATATATATATAAATACTATATATATATAAATACATTTATTTTAACTCTAATTTTACCACACACATGAAAAATAGAAGAGACTGAAATAAGTTTGTGTTTTTCTATCTCTTTGGAAGTTGCTCTACTTTGTGAAAATCTTTGGGTTTGATCAGGGTTGAGAGTCCTCAGTTTCCCAGAGCCGCTTCCCAACAAGTTCCAGGAACCAACGCCAAGCGAAAATGTTTTGTACAGTATTTTCCTTTTGAGACGCGGTCAATTTTGCCTGCCCATCATGGTTGTTTGACAGTTCCAACGTACCTTGTCCGACATAAACATCGCAATTTTTGCCAGATTTGAAGAGCAACCATTGCCGAATATCTCCAAATTTTGGGGTGCCAAGACCAAGAAAAACAACCGATCCTCCCCAAGTTTTTTTTGGTGCATCCCAAGTTCACTTCTTCATGTTGTACATTCTGTTCGTCCAAATTTTGGAAAACCACGAGAAAAAACGAGGCCAAGGTTTCAAAACAAATCAAACTATATAAACCACAGATGTGCCAAGTTCACCCCAAGTTCATGTTCAGTTTGTTCACCCCAAATGGTCCACACTTTTCCTTCATCCTCCCTGCGCCCACCAAGCATCTAGGCCCGGGGGCCCGAAAATGGCGAACTCTGGATCGATCACCTTGACCTGTGGCTGGACAAATGTTGTGGGGATTTCACTACCAAACCCACAAGAGTTGTTTGATAGGGATGTCAATGGGATCTTATGGTATGATATAGCTTTAGAAACCATGAACAATACGGACTTCACTATCACAAATGGTACTAGCGAACATAGGAGGAATCTAATACAATGAAGCACACCCAATGCCGTAAACCTACTGTAAACCACTGATTGATGGTAATGTACTTGGGTTTACCACATTCTGACGTTAGATCATGGTGGTGAATTACTATGAATTACTACTCACTTTTGGATGAGGATTTTGATGATGATGATGATGATGATATCGTGGTTTTGGATGTGACGAAGAGGAAACAACAAAATGCGAGTGCCTCAACAGGGCAGCTCAACCGTGAAACTTGTGGCTAACAGTCACGAACTAAAACTGACAACCTCTGGTGATCTTCAGGTGAACCGGGCACTTAAATTCTCCCCCAAAAACCCCTGGCCCCTTCCCCAGCCGTCAATAGCAACAATCGTGACTCATATCGGGAACTTGGGCTGTTTCATGAACCAAAATTCAGATGAATTTTCGTAATTTCAGGAATTCAACTTGAAGGAACCCCTGAGGGACTTAAAGTTGATGTAAAACTAATGTGCAAGAAGGTTTCCCAAAACTAACGACCTTTGCTATACTTTTGGCCCGTACCCAGGTGTGAATATATCCCAAATGCGCTATGTATGGAATCTTTACCAACATTTATGCAAAAAAAAACAAAATGTCGGTAAATGTTGGTAAGTATATGTGGGGAAATGTATCATTCATGGATCATAACAACTGGTATTTTAAACTTACCCTCTGGTGAACCAACAGCTTGCGAACTGGAAAATCACCATCTTCAAGTTCGGTAAATCAACTATTTCTAAATGGGCCATGGCTTCAAGTTCGCAAACTGTAACAAATTACCATTTCGGGTAAGTTGTTCACAAAAACATCCCAAGCACCACCGACTTTGACCCTCGATGCTGAGTTTCTCCCAAGCTTGGGCCATCGACCTGGGACGGGCTAACCGATTTGACTTTGAAATAAATATATCTAGAGATAGATAATCTTTGAATAATGTGGGTATTATATCTGAATAGTTAAAGACTATTTTTTCAAGTCCGTATATATACACATGTATATACATATATATATATGCATAATATATGTATATATATATATATGTGTGTGAGTTATTTCATACATCTATATATTGTCCAAATTTGATGAATACGTAGGTTTCCAAATAGAATAAACACATCTTTTTAACGTAATGTTTCTGTACTTGGGCAATCTTCGGCAAGGACGTTGGCGGCCTTTGAGCATCAGCACCTCCAAAAGCGTTGCTGGTTCACAGCGGATGAATGTGTCTTCGCTAATTGATGGATCAGCAACATATTCATATCATATATATAAATATATTGCTAATATGGCTAATAGTGGTGTACATCCACAAGTTTTGTCGGATCAATCTCCTTATCTTCTGATATTTGATTTGTAGCCTCTATTGAATGATAGTCATACATCATAATAACAATACCTTGGCTATAACTGGATGATAGTCACTATTTTGAAAATAACTGGATAATTTGTTTCATAGTCACTAAAAATATAATGAAAAACACATAGTCACTATAATACTGTAACTTAGGTTGTTGATAGTCAACAACAAATTCCATAATTGATGATGGTCAGTAAAATAATAGGCACTATAATCGTTAAACACTGGTCAAAAATCACAGTCAATAAAACTTACCGCAATTCATGATGGTCATTATAATGTAATACCTGACTAATAGATACTAATAGTTAGTCACTTTTTCAGACCCAGCCTGATATTGTAACTATAATAAACTAATGATTATAACCGTGCTACTTCCATAATTACTATTATATCATAACATATTAACATGATAACTACAATAATCATAATGAATGATGATTGCAGTCGATGCGTATAAAACTATTATAACAGTCACTACTTTACAATATTTTACAATAACAGGTGCTACAAGTGATGACTAATCTTGATAGTTAATGACAATTGAACCAAGTAGTTGACAGCAATACGTATTATTACAGTCACTATCCTCTGGTAATTTAACGTAGCTATTGAAAATGGCCATCTATAGTTGATTTTCCCATTGAAAATTGTGATTTTCAATAGTTATGTTAGTTTACCAGAGGGTAATTATCAACTGTAATGATACCCATTATAACTATTCTTGTCCATTGCAATTGATGAGTCACTTGTTATCACTATAAATGATCTATATCTACCACTATTTCAGGTGTAATGTTAGATAACTAATGTATAACAAATGATAATGAGAACAGGTGCTATTACTGATGTAAGTAATTATATAATGTTGATAATTAGACTAATTAGACTAATAACTATAATTACAGTCACTATAACTACTTATTATTATAACTAACTATATTTCAGGAGGTAATCATCACTATTATAATTGATTATAGTGACTATAGATGATTATCACCTTATTGAATTAACTCTGAGTGATTATGGTGATTATTATTATCATACTATTCATATATCTATAATCACTGATTATCAACTGTAGTGGTCAATTTCAGTGACTTGTTAAAGTTAGAACTATTATAACTATGATTATCTATAATTAGCTGATACCTATTGTAACTATCACAGTCACTTATCTCTATTATTTTTATCATTACTATCATCCATATTATCATTATTACTTTAGTGATTATTATCATCCTTTTATTCATATGATTTATAATTAGTTGATACCTATCATAAATATGGTTAGCTATAACTATAATTATACTATTACTTGATAATTAACTATAACTCTAGTTAGTCACTTATCTATCATATTATTATCATAATTAGTTGATACCTATTATATATAGTGATTCTTATTATCATATCATTGACATTATCTCTATTTCAGCTCACTTATCTCTGTAATGACTATAATTAGAACTATTACCATTATCAAATTATATTTTCATATTATCTATAGTCACTTCTTCTTATTGTTATTACTATATTATTATTACTGTTATTATCATTCATATTTCAGGTCATACTAATAAAGAAATGAAATAATAACAATAATAATCACTATAGTTATTATAATATAACATAATATAACTATACTCACCGATGATCTCTATCTCAGGTGATCGTCTTCTCCTTCGCTCACCTTTGCGCCCCGGCCATCACGCTGCCCGCATGGAGATCGCCATGACACAGCGCCAGGTTCCGCAGCGCGCGGCCGTTGTAGACCGCCTCGGCGCCATGTTGGGGCGCCAACGGCCGTTCAGGGGCCGTGAAGGGCGGGGAGAAGCAGTAAAAAATGGAGGTTTCACCCAGAAAAATGGTGGAGTTAACAATGGAAAATGTGGATTTCATATTGATTTCAATTGATTTCACCGAGAAAAATGAAGATTTGAAATCATTTAAGCATGAACCATTGGGATTTCCACCATATTTCACCCATGAATTCATGGATTTGGGTGTGCCTGAAAATGGGGCATACCCCAAAGTAATCATTTGAAAAGGGAACATGATGATGAACCAATTGGCATGAATTACGCAATGAAGTCTTAACCACTTCAAAATCTGCCTTTAGCCAACTAAACAAATGCAGTTTTTTATCCATTACTACAGGCAACCATGAAACAAGATTTTGTCAACCAAACTGTGTTGACTTTAGCATTTCCACCTACGAAATGTAACTGGTTGGTGGTTTCAACCTGCTCAAACATATGATTATTCATTGGGGATATTTGGGGATCATCATCCAGAGTGAATCTAACCCATTAGCAACAGCAATGTATCGACTATAACTAAGCTACCAAACCTCATCAACTATTGCATAAAATGTAAGACATCAACTTACCAAATACAGTACTACAGTGCACCCTCCTGTAAACTAACATAGATTTGGGTCAGCTAAGGGGATGATTCTTATTATAAACATCCTTCCAGGGTTCGGTCGCGGCGTTAGGTCGTGATGAAATTTACCCAGATATAAATCCAAAAACATCTAATGTGGTTGAAAGCAACATTAAACCATACCCCAAATCACCGTTTTTTTTTGGGTGGTAATAAACCATGACAATATGGGTAGTTTATGGCATTGCTCCTGTAAATTAACATAAAGCTTTTTAAACAAATCATTATATTCCCATTATATGTTGATTAACTCCCCGTTTCAACCATGTGTACTTTACGATATACCCACCATTTGCAGATTAATATTACTTGGGGAGTACCCCTCTAATTGATAAACCATGTTGATCAATGCAGGGTTAACATCATACCCTCTGGTAAACTAACATAGTTCAGCTGGAAAATCACAATCTTCAAGTTCGGTAAATCAACCAACTAAATGGGCCATGGCTACAAGTTCGCAAACTGCAACAAATTACCAGAAGGTAACTGTGGTTTCTATCATGGATTATATCCTGGATTTATCCCAATTGATGGATTATACTAACTATCTGTGTAAATTAAGGGACATATCCATGGTAAATATTAGGATACAAACCTAAATAACTATAGATATATACATTTATATATATATATATGACATATCATCCATCATAAATCTATATATAGTTAAATCCTATAGTTATTAAAATTTTAAACCAACTTAGCTATCCAGGGTTAACTTCTCCGCGCCTTCAGCTCCTCCACCTCCGCCATGAACTTGGCGTCCTCCCGCAGTGCAGCGGCGCGTGGGTCGCACCGGTAGCACTTGGAGAAGACGTACCTCGGGGCAGCGGTTGGTCGTCTCACCGGGAAAAATGCTGGGTTTACCCACAATACCCTCCAGTAAATTAACATAGACCCTGGCAGATAGGGGTTGGAAGACTAGTTTCCATTAAAAATTGGTGATTTTCAGGGTCTATGTTAATTTACCAGGGGGTAAAACATGTTTTTTGCATCAACAACCGCGGTTTTCCCATGAAATACCTGTTTTTTTCAACGAATAATATATTGTACCGGATGAACATCACAAAGGAAGAACCATAGGAACTTTGACCGCGGGAACGTTTGTCATCGAGAATCTTGATAAGTTATAAGATGTAAATAATATATTCAGCATCGAACATGGTTCAAACGAACACTGGTTGCGCAAAAAGAGAACATAGACACCTCCTCTTTTTCAAGGCTCAAGTGCAGCCCCGTGAGCAAACATCGACAATAACAAGTTCGTGCATAGGGATTGCCATGGTAGATTGCCTGACGTATCTCGGAATTGGATGGAACTCAAATGATAGAACGCTGCCTTTGCCAAAGTGTCATGTTCATGGCATATCCTTGAAAAAACCAAAGTGTACACACTACACCATCTGGTCGACAAAGCAAGCAATGAAAACACATCCATCTACCGATGATTTACCATGATTTACCAACAGCAGCCCCCCAAACAAAACAAACATATCAGAATCCACCACTCACTGTGCATTCATGTTCAACTCGTGTTTTTTTCTTATTGGGGTTTCCCCAAACACATGGTATACTGAAACTACCAAGATGCTCCAGCTGAATGTCTCGAAGCAAACCTATGTCGGCTGTCAACCCTGATTGATTTAGTAGGGGGGCACCTCAAATAATCAGAACTTGCAAAACAAAATAGAGTTCTACAGTATCCTTAAAAATCCCTTGGTTCCCAAATCGTGATGTAGTTAAGTATTCATAAATAAAACCCTTGGCAGCGGGTTTATTGATATTGGGATGACATTACCCTCTGGTAATTTAACATAGCTACTGAAAATGGTCTTATAGTGGATTTACCAATTGAACATGGTGATTTTCCATAGCTATGTTAGTTTACCAGAGGGTGTAAATGGTTAATTTTGATACGATGGCTGGAATTTGTGGCGTGACGCCCGCCGATCCACTTGACTTGGCTCGATCGACTTCCCGCAACAGATCGTTCCACCTTGGTACCTTGCGAAAAACTTGCCTTTTTGTAGGCAAACCTATCGTATCCCCCAGTAGTTTTTTGACATAGCTGTGGAAAAACACCACTTTACATAGGTAACTCTCTGGGCCAAATGAATAGCATTTATATAATAGCTTATACTGTATATATTAAATGACCAAAGGGTATGTCTTCATATCTGCCGCAGCAATCCATTCATGTGGTATACTCATGTATACTCCTCTTCTAGGGATGGATTATTTATTGTTATCCCGCCCATAATTATCTCAATATCCCACTATTATCCGATAATCCATATTCTCCTGGAATCTCCTACGATGTGCCATTACAGTACCCATATGCTCCATGAACGGAATATTTACAGTACCAACATTGTTTTTTTGGATTTTTCTTGGTACATATTCTCTACATGGAGCATGTGGGTTATCATAAACGGTTTGCCCCATGCATCTACCGTCAAAAGCATCATATCCCACCACCTGTCGTGATCCATCGTGCCATGCCACGATTCTCGTAGCTCGATGTTAGGCGAGATACTTCCGCGGGGTCCAACCTGCTGCAGTGTGTCCTGCCGGAGGAACGTCATGTGGCAAAGGAAAGGGCATGGTGTTGCCCCCTGCTTCATTGGCAAATGCCCGAAAAGCACAATCTTGGACTTACATGTATATATATATATATATATGTGTGTTTGTGCTTGTGGTGTAAATAAATAATATATATATATAAATTAATAGACAGTCACATATGGTTATAGATAGACAAATGTATGTATATATATATATATAATCCCTTCCCCTTATTACTAAACGTACCCCAAATACTTAAAACTAGGGTCCATTTTAAAATTTGACATTTTAAAATTTGATAAAATTGAAGTTGGCCAATTTGACTTCTAATTGATCCCCTGTAGAAAACAATTTAAACATGAAGGTCCCATTTGAAGGCTTCACCCAATTAAAAGAACTGGTCAACACCGAGGTGTTTTTTATTGGTCTCCGTCCTTTAAAGTCAAAAAACAATTAGCTCTTATTATTGTAAGGTTTTGAATTCAATATTATGGAATCCTTCGAAATCCAAGTTTGGGGGCAACATTTTAATTAGATTTTAAGCATGAATTGAATCGATTTTGAGGCGGATTTGTTCAGTCTTCTTATTTTGGTGTTTAATCTAATGCTAGGGAAACCTTCGAATCCAATTTTCGGTAATACGTTGATTAGATTTTCAAAGGAAGTCAATCGAATTTGTTTTCTTTTGATACAGGTTTTAATTTAGCATTAGGGGGAAACTTTGCGCCCTAATACTAAAAAAAAACAATCCAATATTAAAAACTCCTCCGGGTGTTTATTTATTAGGGGGAGGGAGGGTTTAGTTTTAGGGGGAAGGGATTGAATATAGACATACATAAATATGCGTATGTATACAATATTCTACAATAATGCTATATACTTCCAAGCGATGATTTAAAATTTCGTCAGCTGTTCGCCTGATTGCTGTTGGCATGCTTCCAAATCCATTTGCCCAGAACATTGCCCGAAACAAGCGCAGCAAGTCAAAACCAATATGATCCATGTAAATGATCCCAAATGTAGGTACACATACCGCATACCACATACCATACATGGAACACATGGGAAATGAAATCACACAGCTTCTGAATAAACACCATTTGCAGGATCATTGTGTTGGTCGGAGGGAACATCTACAGGAGACCATTCCCCAAGGAAAAGTCGACCAATTAAACTCTGGGTCATACCCTCTGGTAAACTAACGTAGCTATAGAAAATCACAATTTTTAATTGGAAAACTCACTATAAATGGCAATTTTCCATAGCTATGTTAAATTACCAGAGGGTATCACAAAACACCATGGTGAGGTCAAGGTGCTCACCATCTGTGGCTCCTGGAATGCATCATGGCCATGCACTCCCCCAGCTGCAGGGCCACTGACTTCTGAGCATCACCCTGCGGACACGGCCGAGCTTCTTTAAGAGCCCTTCCCGACGGGAATATGAAAGTTCGTTTGGGATCATCATCGTCGTCAACGACAATAATAATAACCATTGTCATCGTCTTGATCATCAAACTCGACAGTATCATCAAGATCATCAACATCATCAATATCATCAAGATCATAAATTTCATCAATATCGTCAATATCATCAACCTCATCAACATCATCATCATCATCATCATCATCAACCTCATCAACCTCATCAACCTCATCAACACCATCATCGTTGCCAATCAGTTGAAACACGCGAAGCCCATTGTCACACCCATACCAGAATTCAACAATTCTTGGGTTGGTTCCCACAATTCAAACCATAATTCGAATTAGGTTGGCCGGTGAGGTAGTTTAGCAGGTTATAATGATCTTGGCAAAGGAATTTCAACATACTCTCTGGTAAACGTACAAAAAACTATGGAAAATCACCATTGTTAATGGGTAAACGGTAAATCCACTATTTCTATGGCCATTTTCAATAGCTTTTTGTATGTTTACCAGACCGGGTAGCAGGGTCGATCACGTTACCCACGTTTGGACCCTGGCACAGTCATCACACTCAGGGACCAAAAAACCTCCCAACTTCGATGTTTTTATCCCTGCGGCTTGGTGTGTGCAGTCGCCACTGAAAATAAGTGGGTAATAACTAATAACCACATCATAACCATTCATAAACAAGTTATATGTAGGATAATACCCCAGTTACACTTAGGGCAACTGGGTATCAAGCATTTAGATCATTTAGAAATTGGGATGCACAACCAACACATCCCAGGCCCCAAAAAGAGAAGACTCGAGACCTCAAAGAGGCTCCGCTGAAGCAACTGATAGGACTCCAGGAATTCCATGATAAAGGCCATGGCGTTGTCATCAAACCTGGAGGCTAAGTCGGCTAAGTGGTCGATGGGTGAAACCTACAGTAATTAGCCCAAAAAAGATCGACATGCGTAACATCGTGCTCAAATAGTATTATATAATCCTCAATCGTTTTCTCTCTCTCTCTCTCTTTAATGGTTACTACTTTTTAAATGTCTACTCAATCCCTGGTAAATCATCTTCAGCAAATCCCAGCAGAACAGGACGACGCTGCCACACGAAAAATAGAGACCTTCGGTGCTCCCAAAAATACTTCCAGCACACAGAACAGCACCAAGCAACTTCCAAATCCGTGGAATGTATCTGGAAATCTCAGCACCTCACAAAAGCCCGAAGACATGAGCTCAACTTGATACATGTCCCTTGACCCATGTCCAAGGCACACCATTCCTTGGTGAAATGAATGGTCGAAGGTTACATTCAATAGAAATAATTTAACAGAAATATGGGTCACACTTGTATAATGTAGTTATTAAATGTTGTATATACATCGGCTCCCCCTCAACTGTTTGGGGGGACCCGCGAGTCAGCATCCAACATGAAACATCATCATAATCTGAAAACTCCTGTGAAAAAAATCTCATCATCATGCATCATCATCACATTTCTATGCTTGAACATGTGTTTGTTTGCATTTTGTCCGCCAGGTGTTTTACTTGAAACCTTCAGCCGCTATATCGTACCCCTCCCCATAACAAAATCAATGTCAATTTGTCAAATCCTCCTAAAATAGTGATACCTTACATGACTTTCATATAATTTGGTTAAAACAATAATAAGCCATCCCCTAGTCATCACCATACATAGATGATGTAACCGTTCCCAGTCATGGGTAGTTTACTATTGTTTTAACCACACTCGAAAAAAACTTCCGCGGGGGTTCCAACATAACATGAACGGTCTTCGCAATGAAACCTCTTTACAAGGACCTTTAGAAACCATTCATAATCAAATCACCATTTTTATAGGTGGTATGTTTACCATTCTCACCTGGCCAGTTTGTGGTTTTAACCACATTAGAATAATTGCCAGATCTTTCATGAAATGGTTTTAACCACATTAGAAATACCACATCTTCCCACATTTTTATGGTTTTAACCACATCAAATCATGAAATATCCATCGCAGTTTCGGCCATGGCAGCCATGGTCCCATGGCGTCGCCTCGTTGTTGCCACTCCTGGTAGACCATGACCTCCAAGCGCATCCGCTCCCGCGTCAGTTGCGCCGTTGGGCCGATGACCTCGTTGCTAAGCTGTTGCTAAGCTGTTGCTAAGCTGTTGCTAAGCTGTTGCTATGGATCAATAGCGATAGCACTAGGGGATGAAGATCTATTTACCTATTTTGATGTGAACAAAAGGGTGGTTTTTGAGTGATCAATGACTTTTGTTGGTGCAATCTTTATGGGAAAACCAGGGATTTTAGCCTCAAACTTGGAGTCTGCTGTTAAATTGAAATTATCTGTTCACACAAGTCTCGGAGATAAGCTTCAGATGTTGTTTCTTTGCCTCTCACCCTGCTAAAAGAAACGTGACAGGTGATTTTTACCATATTTTTCTCAATGATTAATGTTGCTGAAGAATGATTGATGGTGACTCTGTGCCTTGTCAAGGACTTGTTTGGGGTTGAGGCAGCCATCCCAAAAACTACCTAAGTCAATTGGAATCATCACCACAGGTAGAATGGGTAAACATATTCAAACCGCCAATCAGTGATTTGTAGATGATGTATAGATATATGTATAGTATAACAGTATACGCCGGTGAAATCTAACGTAGCACCGGAGGACAAAAAAACAAGATATTAACATAGCCCCCGTTCATCGAAGACTCCTGGGGAAGTCATATATACTGGATGATGCTGAAAGCTGCCAACATCCTATCCAACTCAGCTTAAACCTGACACCTGGGCAGGCCTTTCCAGACCAGATCAATTAAACATGAACAATCCAAAAACCCTGATTTCACATTAACATGGCCTAAAAAAAGCAAACAGTGAGTGTGTCAGCCATGTTCCATGTTAAAGTACCGCGCCTTTTTTTCTTCCCGTACTCCCCTTTCCGGGTTTTGCGCAAGTGGCCGACCCACCATCTTCTACGATCCACTCAGCCGAAGACACCCTTGACTTTAACATGAAACATGTAATACTATTCCAGGTTAAACTTGAGCAGTGAAACACAAAAAGAGTGTAAACTAGAGCAATTTTAACATGGAACGTTAACATGCCTCACCCCACCCCAACCCCAGGGCTGCGAAGCATCCACAACGCATGCAAGTTACATGAAACGTTAACATGCCCTATCCCACCCCAACCCCAAACTTGGTGGTGCACTTTTGGTGCTGAATCCAGACTTGGACCCTTTGGTGGTTGTTTTTTTACCGGTGGGTGACCAACAGGTGAAAAGATGAATCACCAAATCATGGACTGGTGGGCCATGTTAAAATATCAGGCTATCCATGGTAAAACCTTTGGTTTGTTTCTGAGGTTCCCCATACTTCCCAGGAAGATTTCTTTTCCCAAAAGAACAAAGCGGCATGGATCCCAAATCAGTATTTTCACATGATATTTTTTCTTTATTAAACTCTTTATATAATATGCTCGATTTGTGCACTTTTGGTGCTGAATCCAGACTTGGGCCCTTTGGTGGTTGTTTTTTTAGCCGTGGATGACCAACAGGTGAAAAGATGAATCACCAAATCATGGACCGGTGGGCCATGTTAAAATATCAGGCTATCCATGGTAAAACCTTTGGTTTGTTTCTGAGGTTCCCCATACTTCCCAGGAAGATTTCTTTTCCCAAAAGAACAAAGCGGCATGGATCCCAAATTAGTATTTTCATATGTTTTTTTTCTTTATTAAACTCTTTATATAAAATGCTCGATTTGTGCACTTTTGGTGCTGAATCCAGACTTGGGCCCTTTGGTGGTTGTTTTTTGAGCCGTGGATGACCAACAGGTGAAAAGATGAATCACCAAATCATGGACTGGTGGGCCATGTTAAAATATCAGGATATCCATGGTAAAACCTTTGGTTTGTTTCTGGGGTCCCCCATACTTCCCAGGAAGATTTCTTTTCCCAAAAGAACAAAGCGGCATGGATCCCAAATCAGTATTTTCACATGATATTTTTTCTTTATTAAACTCTTTATATAATATGCTCGATTTGTGCACTTTTGGTGCTGAATCCAGACTTGGGCCCTTTGGTGGTTGTTTTTTTAGCCGTGGATGACCAACAGGTGAAAAGATGAATCACCAAATCATGGACCGGTGGGCCATGTTAAAATATCAGGCTATCCATGGTAAAACCTTTGGTTTGTTTCTGAGGTTCCCCATACTTCCCAGGAAGATTTCTTTTCCCAAAAGAACAAAGCGGCATGGATCCCAAATTAGTATTTTCATATGTTTTTTTTTCTTTATTAAACTCTTTATATAAAATGCTCGATTTGTGCACTTTTGGTGCTGAATCCAGACTTGGGCCCTTTGGTGGTTGTTTTTTGAGCCGTGGATGACCAACAGGTGAAAAGATGAATCACCAAATCATGGACTGGTGGGCCATGTTAAAATATCAGGCTATCCATGGTAAAACCTTTGGTTTGTTTCTGAGGTTCCCCATACTTCCCAGGAAGATTTCTTTTCCCAAAAGAACAAAGCGGCATGGATCCCAAATCAGTATTTTCATATGTTTTTTTCTTTATTAAACTCTTTATATAAAATGCTCGATTTGTGCACTTTTGGTGCTGAATCCAGACTTGGACCCTGATGAGCAAGGCCCAACTTTGAGCACAAAAACGAGTCCTGCAGGTAGGATATGTTAAAGTTCCTTAATGACGACCTGTTTGCCTCTTTGCATTCCCCATGAATACATACTGTTCAATGGCCAAAATTCCAAACGTGCTATGTTAATTTAAATTTCCTTCCAAAACCTTAAGGTTCTTGGGGATTCCTGGGGAACGACTGAAAAAAAACGAGAACAACAAAAGCAAAATCAGACTTGTCTTTCCTCCTTATTTCATGTTAACGAAGTACCAGAGACAGTGTTTTTTTGGTATGTTAACATGGTCCGTGATTTTTTTTATTTTTATTTTTTAGCCACGTTAAATTTACCCGGCGTATCTATATATCTCTTGAAATGGATTGAAATGGATTGAAATGGTGGATTTCCATTGCCAAGTTCGTTTGCTTCAAGGTAAACTTGGGAGAGTAATAGTAAGAGTAAGATCTTTTCATCGCATTTAGATCTACGGTGTCTTTTGCTGAGACTTCGCCTGCTGTCTGCTTTGACACCCCACCTTGATGTACTCTGGAGCCTGCTTCACAAAAACAGCGTTCTTGTCATCACGGACCACAAACGCATAGTTCAGGTTACCGCCTGGCATCGTTCAGATTTCATACACTGGAAGGTGTGTGTGAAGCAAGATTGGGCCCTCACAATTGATACGAACACTCTACCCTCTGGTAAACTAACAGTTTGCTATTGAACATGGCCATGGAAATAGTCGATTTACCCACTAAAAATGTGATTTTCCATTGGTTTTTCTATGTTTACCAGAGGGTAACTTCTTGCAACCTGCGCCTGTGACCTCAGAGGCCCGCAGTTCCTGACCTAATGGGGCGTGAACTGGGCGGAAGGTCTCGCGGTTCGGGTGAGTAGTACGGTTTTGGACGGCAAAGATAGGGATTCAATGGGAGAATATAGTGATTTAATGGGATTTATAGTGGTTCAATGGGATATTAATGGGATTTACCAGAGGGTAAGATAACAATTTGCAATTCATGGGATTTCATTCAAATTGAATGTGTTGAATGAACCATAATGAACCCATGCTGAAAAAAGGGACAAGCACATACAAAACACCGATGGTTTCTTGAAAGCACTTCGATCTGGTTTTCTGTGTCGATGCCAAGGAACTTACATCCAAAGGGGCCTGGTCGAGCCAAGGAATGGCGGACTTCCCGATGTGAACACGGTGGGGTTGGGCCACTCAGCTGTTATTTAAACAAAGATATACAGCACACCTAAAATTGCATGTGAATAAATCTACCGTTCTATATGTTTCTACATATATATACATATATATACATAATTATACACATAAATATGTTGAAAGAAAATGAAAAAGTATGACAACTGGGGCAGCCCCGTCGTCACCATGGGTTGAACATACTAAGTCATGGTCATCCATGACGACTGGATGATTTGGGGCACCTCTATGACTTTGGATGGAAACCCATCTGAATCATCATTTCTGATTCTACTCCTTCTGCAACCTGAAGAGAACGAACCTACGGCCATTTCGGGATTTCACTCTGTTGACACCATCGGCGAAGAGGCACATCAAATGTCCTCCAAACTGGAATGTTTCCAGCCCGTCAATACAAAAAAAGGAACACTGGAAATGACTGGAACTTGGGAGAGCTCATAGATCAAGATTGCCAAGAACACAAAAAGAAAAATGAAAACTGTTATATTTTCTGATCAAAAATCAAGAATGTGACACATTTTTCAAGAAAACCACGGCAATGTTTTACTCCCCATCCAAGTCTGTGGAGGCTCATCCGGCAGTGCCAGGGCACTGAAGCTTCGTCTTTCAGTTGAGTCTTTACCTTCGGACGCTTTGTTTCGGCAGGGATGAGGCAGAACGAAGTGGGATGCTGATATTTGAGGTTAACAAAAGACATTATTCGCATTTAAAATCCATATCAGGCAATTTAGATACAGATATAGATAGATCAGATAGATGGTGATTTGATGATTAAGCTGGGACCCAGCCACAGGACTGATCTGATCGAGACCGGACCTATCTCATAGTCAAAGTTTGCATCCCAGCTGCATATTGGCACACGGTGTCCAACGTCAGCAGTGCCATGGCTTGACTGAAGTCTTCAGATCAGATGCAGCATGATGATAGAAAAACATGAAGACCTTGGGATTATTGAGAGAAACGCCATCTACAACATCTTGAAACATGTTTTTCTATCTTTTGATTCTTATACATTACAATTATATTAGATGATGTTACATGGTAATAATTCAACAACACAAACTAGCAAACACCGGCGAAAATCTCAATCTAGATCTTGGCACACTGTATGCATTGGTGTCGGAGTCGATATGACCTCATCAGCTTGATGTGCCTCAGAATCTCCGAGAAAACATCAAGAGGTTTCCAGTAGTTGATGTGTATACATCGAATCTCTTGAAATATGAAATACCTTTGATGACTTTGTCCACGTCCAAAGGTCATAGTCCCCCAAAACATCGTTGGTGGCGAAGGGCACTGAAGCCAGAACAGGTCGCGGAGATTCCACAGAAAAAAACACCCAGGGCATCCGGGGTGAGTAACGATCATATTTTACCACGCTCATATTCGGATTATCTATGTGTATATATATATGTATGAGTTAAACTGTTAAACCCCAAATAATAACACAACTGGGAGCTAATTAAGCACATAACAAATAGATTGTATAACCTTTGTGTATACATATTCTTTGTACTATATATATATAAATATATATAAATATATTTATATGACAGGGTGGAAATCGGCTCCAATGAGAAACACATCCTTCCCGTGTCTCCCACCTTGTTGCTGCGCTCAGCGAGAGGCTGCCTGACCGTGGCGTTCCTGGCTTCTATTCTTCGAACATCAAATGGTTCGCTGTTAGCTGATGTTAGCTGGAAAATCCCCTAAATGGATGTTTACAGTTTAAAAAAACTGGGAACATCATCGAAGTAAACGGTGGATTTTCCAGCAAAACTACGATTACCGGAGGGTATTCTCCATGATTGCTGCTGATTTTTTCAATGGATTTTACAGGAAAATCAATGGTTTCCCGTAGACATTCCCCTAAACCAATCTATTGATTTTAGCTGGTTGGTGGTTGAGCCACCCCTCTGAAAAATATGAAAGTCAATGGGAAGGATTATCCCATCATATATGATGGAAAAAAATCCAAATGTTTCAAACCATCAACCAGTTAGCATTGCCTGGTCCATAGTCATCTCTTGAGCTGCTGCCCCTTGCCTTGCTGAGATGCTTGCGCCGGAACCTGCACGTCGGGCGCAAGCAGTTTTCTTCTCTCTGGGTAATTCTCCAGCTAGCCATGTTTGATTACCAGTTGGTTATGCATTTATATTATTTATATATATATATACACACATGATTAACTTATATATATATATTATATGATTATATATGTATCCCATTGTTTTCCCATGTTTCCCAATGACATATCCATTTCTCAGAGGGTGAGTGCGGTCAGCAAGCGCCACATGATCCTTTTTTAGGTCTCCACGCCACAGGGCGCCCCTCCACGCGCGCATCTGGCCTCTGATTTTGGACGGTTTTGGGCACATTTACACTGGTTGGTGGTTGAGCCACCCCTCTGAAAAATATGAGTTCGTCAGTTGGGATGATGACATTCCCACTATATGGAAAACATGTTCCAAACCACCAACCAGTTATATATAGACATATAACGGGAATATGATGGGTTCTAGCCACCTACTTACCTAGTTGTTATGAGCCGTTGTATGGCCATGAATGCAGATTTATACTTATATACTGTAATTGACAAACCACAAAATAACTAATAATATCATATCAAGTTCATCGGGATATTTTGGTATATAATCGACAATATGGCATTGTTTGTAGATGGCTTATGGTCATCTATCCCACAATGGGAATCTTTATCATGGGTATATAAATACCCCATGAATGGATTGATGACCATCCCCCATTTTTTGTGCAAACACACTTTTGACCATGGCAGATATAAACAATAAAGACCATCCAAGCAAAAATGCGATTGAACCAACAAGACTTGGGATATCAGCTGCTGAGATGGCCGTTCATTAGGACATATCAGGACCTAACCAGCAAGACATCAAGAATGGGATTTGACTCACCACTTCGGTGTTTTTTTGCGGAGCAATTGGGATGTTTGGTGATTTTACCATCCCTTCAACTAGTATCCCGAGGTTGGAATAGAATCTGCAAGGTCCTACTTAGCAGAGTCAATTGGGGGGTGAAGCCTGGTAAAATGAAGAAACAAAGGCAAAACACTGGGGAGACCAAGAAAAACATGAAAAAACTATGATGTATGCCATACTTTGCACTGATCGTGGAGAAGAAAGCATGGCTGATAGATCTTAATACCAAGGTTACACACCAAATGCCGAACAGTACGTGTAGCACATGTGTACATGTGTTGTGTGCCGACAGAATCATCCTGTAGAAGCGATGCTGAGTGAGAGGAAATCCCATGTTTTAATCAACCCGGGACCCATGGCGGAAGATTCCACATGTCATCACTTTTGAGGCTCATTTCCTGAACTTGGATTTGCTGTATATAGGACCCCCCCAAAAAATAACAACATTCCCTATATCGATTCCCCGAGTATAGAGTTTTGTTCCCCATTGGGAGCACAAAATTAAAAATCATCTTCCTCAAATCAATGGGTTGGTTCAAGGGAAGATCTAGAGGGCTTTCCTGCAGATTTTCCCTTCATGCAATTCTGCACGGTGGTGCTCCGCCAGTGATGTTTGGTTTATAAACCACATGAATACTTTAAATATAATGTTAGCTCCTGATTAGTAGCTAGGGTCGCTATTGTGGCAATTTTTCCAAATTGTTCTGAAACTCATGTATTGTTTGGAGGGTTCGCTTTTGTGGCAAAACAAAATTGGGAGAGCCCTTTAAAAAAAAACAGTAATTGCTGAGAGGCAATTTTTTTTCCTCAAAAACGCTGTAGCTCAGTCAAGTTTTTGCTCATCTCTCTATCTGAGCCTGTAAATGCATCTCTATCTGAGTAAGTTTGTTTGCTGGGTTCACTATTGCAGCAAGCTGTGCCAGAGCAGCCCCTGGAAGCCCAGAAGAGAAGCAAGCCTTTTCCAAAATTGCCAAATTCAAACTGCAAGCCTTTCCCAAAAGAACCAATCCCTTATTAAACCCTTATTAAAGAACAGCTTTTTCACAATTTTCCAAGGCCCTGGACCAGGAGAGGCTTCATTTCACTTTAGTAGGTTTGTTTGCTGGGTTCACAATTGCAGCAAGCTGTGCCAGAGCAGCTCCTGGAAGCCCAGAAGAGAAGCAAGCCTTTTCCAAAGGCAATTGCCAAATTCAAACCCCAAGCCTTTCCCAAAGGAGCCAATCCCTTATTAAACCCTTATTAAAGAACAGCTTTTCCACAATTTTCCAAGGCCCTGGACCAGGAGAGGCTCCATTTCACTTTAGTAGGTTTGTTTGCTGGGTTCACTATTGCAGCAAGCTGTGCCAGAGCAGCCCCTGGAAGCCCAGAAGGGAAGCAAGCCTTTTCCAAAGGCAATTGCCAAATTCAAACTCCAAGCCTTTCCCAAAGGAGCCAATCCCTTATTAAACCCTTATTAAAGAACAGCTTTTCCACAATTTTCCAAGGCCCTGGACCAGGAGAGGCTCCATTTCACTTTAGTAGGTTTGTTTGCTGGGTTCACTATTGCAGCAAGCTGTGCCAGAGCAGCCCCTGGAAGCCCAGAAGAGAAGCAAGCCTTTTCCAAAGGCAATTGCCAAATTCAAACTCCAAGCCTTTCCCAAAGGAGCCAATCCCTTATTAAACCCTTATTAAAGAACAGCTTTTCCACAATTTTCCAAGGCCCTGGACCAGGAGAGGCTCCATTTCACTTTAGTAGGTTTGTTTGCTGGGTTCACTATTGCAGCAAGCTGTGCCAGAGCTACAAGTACTACAAGTACTACAAGTACTACAAGTACTACAAGTACTACAAGTACTACAAGTACTACAAGTACTACAAGTACTACAAGTACTACAAGTACTACAAGTACTACAAGTACTACAAGTACTACAAGTACTACAAGTACTACAAGTACTACAAGCACTACAAGCACTACAAGTACTACAAGTACTACAAGTACTACAAGTACTACAAGTACTACAAGTACTACAAGTACTACAAGTACTACAAGTACTACAAGTACTACAAGTACTACAAGTACTACAAGTACTACAAGTACTACAAGTACTACAAGTACTACAAGTACTACAAGTACTAAATACTACAAGTACTACAAGTACTACAAGTACTACAAGTACTACAAGTACTACAAGTACTACAAGTACTACAAGTACTACAAGTACTACAAATACCACAACTTCATCGGCAAAAAAAACCATAGTAATGAGATTTCAATTGTAGCCAATTGAAACCCTTACTTAATTGAGGATATGTTTTTCTTTTGGGAAGAAAATTTTTGATTTTCTACTTTAAAGAGAGTCCAGATATAGTTAAGGGAGGGGGGGGGGAGGGGGGGGGGGCCACACACTAATCAGGAACCAACATTATCTGCCAGAAACCATAGAATTCACCTAGTTATTTGTAGCAACTTAGGTTCCAGGAACTGGGGCACCACCCATAGTTGATGCTTATTCAGTGTTCAGTTCATATGTTCTCCATTAAAACCGAATCTTTTTGTGGGAATCCCTATTAACTAACCAACTATTATAGATTTCCTAGGAGAACAAAAAAACAAGAAACTGGTGAAAGTCTCTCCACACCCAGCAGTTGGGTGCACCACCAGGGCTGTTGAACTTGACGAGGCCTCCCCGGTGTCAAAGTTCGGTGTCAAAATTCGTTGCACTCCACTTAGAACATTGGCCAATCTGAGATTCCTGCAAAATACCTTGATCTTTTGGAGGTCGTTGAGTCATCAAAAACTCTCCCATTTGCAACAAAATTTATTGGAAACAAATCTGCCAAGCAGAGGTGTACCCCCGTTGACACCTCAGCGTTGAAATGTATCATGGGCTCTATTGGCTCATGGGCCGTGGGCCCCCCAGTGATGTTTGTTGGTTTACAACCCCATTAACATTTAACGTACTGTACAGTACTATAGATTGGATAGACATAT